TTTAAATTTCTTGAGTTATTTGAATTTGGAGTATACAAAAAGTTATACATAACCTTTACTTTTAAGTTTGAATTCACAAATGGAACTGTTTTTTTCTTATTTTATGACGTTAATAAATTACTTACGATGTTAAATCATTCTATATATATATATATACACATATACATATACTTGGGATCATGTGAGACCAGACTGTTTTCGTGAGACCTGTGAGACCAACATTTTACACTTGAAACTTCACAGCAAAATGCTGTGAAGGTGACTTTTTAAAACCTTCACAGTGTTTTTGCTGTGAAGGTTATGTGTAAAAATGTGGTCTCACGGGTCTCACGAAAACAAGTTGGTCTCACGTGAACCCAACCCCATATATATATATATTTAAGATGTTATTTGGATTATTACTGATTGAAGTCCATACTGTAATTACTATTATTTTTGTTTTACTAAAATTGAAATCAGTCATGCTCTTATAATCGTAAATTGACTTACATGACTACTGGTTACAGTATAATAATAATATCATCGATTTTTGTATAAAAATTAAATTAAAAAAAAATGGTATGTATTATTCAAAAAGCAGGGTTTAAAGGATAAAATATGTGAGTATATATATAGGGTTGTTCATTGGAGAATAACATGTTTTTGTGAGACCCATGACCATTTTTTTACATTTGAAAGCTTACAACAAAATACTGTGATGGTAAAAAAAAAAACCCGAACCTTCACAGTAAAAACACTGTGAATGTTATATTTACAACGTTTTGCTGTGAAGTTTCAAGTGTAAAAAAGTGGTCTCATGGGTCTCACAAAAACGTACTTGTTTCACATGAACCCAACCCTATATAGTCTAATCAAATGAGAACTGTTTTGTTTGTGGCAACCGTGAGATTCAATCTCAACCACAAATCAAAGGTTAAATTATGAAATTAATAATTTTGGTAATTTTAACTTAAAATATTAAATAAGGGCATTTTATGGATTTTATAAATATCCTCTTTACTATCTCCGGCGAAATTTATTCCGATGAACCTTATGTGAACACAATATACACAATGTGATACCTACAAATGATATCACTGTAGATATACATACAAGATGCACAATGTGATATCCTTTGTAAGACAATAAAAATAACGAAAATGCACATTATGATACATTTAATAAAACAAAAAAAAAATACATTGTGATACACGTGAAATATTGTGAACGTTATCACTATGATACACTTTCATTCACAAACGTCTTTAAAATACGATATATATTAGGTAATTGATATACTAGGTAACTAATTTTAATTAAAATTTCCTTCTAAAAAATTTAATCAAATATTTTGATTAATTGTCAAAAATAGAATTACTGTATTACTCTTTTAGCTTATTTAAGAAAAATCCTTAAATATTTCAAACGAGTGGTTCACAATGGATCTCACGGTTACTAAAAACTAATCAGTTCTTCCTTGAGGGTGCGTTTGGTACGCTGGACAGGGTGAGACAGGACAGGACAGAACACATTTGTCCTACGTTTGGTGTGGCTAAATGTGGAACTAAGTGGAACTAACTTGGACACACATGGGACACGCGTGTTCCACCATTACCCCTGGAACTAAGTGGAACACAAAGCTTTTTCCCTCTTTACCCCTTCTTCCCCTACCCGGCTCATCACCTCGCGACCTCCATCTCGTCGCGACCTCCATCTCCATTGACGGCGACCTCCATCTCCTTCGACGGCGACCTTCATCTCCTTCGACGGCGACCTTCATCAACTCCATCGACGGCGACCTCCATCTCCATCGACGGCTACCTTCATCAACTCCATCGACGGCGACCTCCATCTCCATCGACGGCTACCTTCATCAACTCCATCGACGGCTACCTTCATCAACTCCATCGACGGCGACCTCCATCTCCATCGACGGCTACCTTCATCAACTCCATCGACGGCGACCTTCACTGGAGAGTCGATTTCTTCACTGGAGAGTCGATTTCTTCACTGGAGACCTCCATCTCCATCGATTTCTTCAYAGCATCGACCTCCATCTCCAATCGACGGACGASGACCTGGTTTTCGCCACTGTTCATCGCCACTGTTCATCGACGACCTAATCCAATTCAATCTCAAAACTGCATCGCCCCCTAAAAGGTACACACAAACCTACAAATTGTAGCTGTTACCAGAATGCATTTCGTAGTGAAAAAACACTAAACAGCTCATTGGGGGGTAAATTGGTCATTTTAACTAGTTCTGTCCTGTCCTGTCTTACCAAACGCTGAACAACTGTCCTGTCCTGTCCTGTCCCGTCCCGTCCTGTCCTGTCCAGTCCTGTCTGCGCACCAAACGCACCCTGAATGAGCATATATATATATATATATATATATATATATATATATATATATATATATATAGGGTTGGGTTCACGTGAGACCAATTTATGTTCATTGATCAACTTTATAAACTAATGATCTAATGGTTTAAAGTTGCACGGTGGCAATTTTGTAATTATTAAGAACTCTCGTGGCAAATTTTGTGATTAAGAATGTTGAGATTATAGATCTAATCCAAGGGTTAAGAATTGGTCTTATGGGTCTCACGAAAAAGCATTGGTCTCATATGATCCCAAGTCTATATATATATATATATATATATATATATATATATATGTATATGTATGTATGTATGCATGCATGATTTTTTCTGCCCTAAAAAAGACCCCCTGATTTATAAAAATATTAATTCTTATGTTGTTTAATTTTGGCAAATCAAGTTCATGTGGTTTAGATCCACTAAAATGAAAAAATCATAATAAGAATACATAAATATATGAAATAAGTAACCATAATTTGTTATCTATATAATATCAGTGTTTTGTTTCAAACTAATTTGTAAACAGATCAGTTAAAAAACTTGTCAAAATATGAAACAAGTTGAAGTCGTCCAAATTATATTCAAATACTCATAACCTTCAAAATCGCTTTATAAAAAGATATTATATTATTAATTTGATAATACAGTTTTTATAATTATATTTAATACATTTATTATTCGCAAAACTCAAAGAAATAAACCATAATTATTGACAAATCAATCCAACCCGACCCATTTGACCCGTATTTAAGATGCTCATTTTGATATGTTATCAATGCTCTAAATGGCTTGAGACATGGTGAGGTGGTGCCGATAAGGTCAAACCTCAAATTTAAGAGTCAATGAAAGACACCACGAAGTTTTTCAAGACGTGACTTATGACAACAAATATATGTGTGTGTGTGTGTGTGTATATATATATATATACAAGTGTTTTTTTTACTATTAATCAATGAGTCAATGATATTGAACGATATAAATTAAGTTATATACTAAAAATGTAAGAAAACTTAAATATCACGTTAGAAAACCATGCTTTTAAATATGACGTGCTATAATCTTAAAGTGACATGGGACACGAGCTTAAGCCATGGAACACCAAGGTTGTCATGGATAAGGTGTGTAAAACCTGGACCGAAAATGAGGTGTTAATGCAAAATCCGAATGCCCCAAAATCCAAAAACCCGACCCCAACTTTCGGAGAAATATTTGGGTGCGGGTTGGGTTTGATCTTTGATCATCAGACCCGTTCGAGAACCCATATATATATATATATATATATATACATATAATATTTAGATATTATATAATTATTATTCGAAAATCCTAGTCGGCTATGCTTTATAGTATTTTCTAAATACTAAACCTATTATCAATTTCATCAATCCTCAAAATCGATTGAATATATTTTTTTTTGCATATAACAAAACTCGAACCCGACCGACCCCAATTTGAAGCAATCCGAAATCCAAAACCTAAAATTTGGAGCTTGATTTGAATATTCGAAATCTAATCGGGTTTATAGTTTGTCTGTCTGAATATGCCCAACTCAATCGATGCATAGCCTTAATCACGATGAGCCTTTTAAAACACCATTTGTCATACAACAACATTTGTTATAAATTATCAAATGGTATTTGGTCTAGCGGTATGTAAATTCTTGATCTCCTAGAAGGTTTAAGGTTCAACCATCACCAAATATGAGAAGAGTGAGTGAGTTTATTATTATATATATTTCAAAAAAAGTTATTTGTTAAAAATTTGAATGCATTTCAAGAGAATATAAATGAAATTAAGAAAGGGCCTTTCCTGTCAAACATTAAATCTTGAGGGGGCTAAATGAAACTATTGTTGTCTCTAAAACCTCTATAAAGTTGTCGCTTTCGAATACGAAATGAGAGGAGCATTTAATTAACAAAACCTTCCGCCATTTTCGAGACAAAAGCTTTTACCGGAAACAGAGATGTCAGTTTTGAGGAAGCGTACAAAACCAGGGAATTCTTGTAAACCTAAAAATCGCCATAGCCAATTTGCTCCATTAAACACGAACTATCAAACATCTGCAGAAGATCATACAGACAGAGCCATATCTCACACCTACAAGTAAGTGACAGTGCGTGTTTCTTCAGATTTGTTTGATTTTCGTTAGTTTGCAGTTATAATCTCCATTTGTTTAATCCATTTGAGGAATTTGATTTCGATTGATGTTTCGAATTTTCACAAATCATCAGTCATTCGTCTTGCATTATAGATCGTATAGAAATTTGATTCTAGTGTTTTTTTGGTGAGAGAAGCTCCACTGTTGATGGTATGTAGTGTATTTTGTCTGTATTGATCAACTTTGTGCCAAATTAAATGAGACTTATGATTTGTGATCTGTAAAGGAAATCTAATTCAGTTCGGGCGTTGTGTGATTTACTGATTTATTTAGTGTAATTGTGTAATTTTGGTGCATGGTGGATATTGCAGAATCTATCATTCGTGATTGTCATTTCTCCATTGAAGCCGAAGCTATAACGACTGAAGTTATTGAACTCTGTCGTCATGTCATATAATTAATCTGATGGTATTACTCTATTATTTCTGGATAATTTTTGTGTGTAATTGCGATTTCTTAACGTTTACTCCAATTCTGTATAGTGCCTGAAGAGCGGAGTTTCAATCTTAGAGTTCGTATAAGATCAGATGCCTTTGGAACGAAGAGCTCAACTGTACGTATAATACACCAGTTTGTTTGTGTTGTTCTTGAGGTGCTTTAAATAGTCCATTGACAATTCTTGTGAGGCTGAGAGCTCCCATTGTATGGTATTTTTGGATTTCTTTGCTTACAATTTTGCAAATTTGGAATTGTGTAGTGTTAGAAATTGAGGGTGATAAATCAACTAGATCGCCGATCGTGTATAGTTTGCTTTCCAAATATACTAATTCGAACCTATATGCCTTGGGTATCACGAACTGAGTATTCAGATAATACAATGATTACTCTGATTTTAAAGGCTGTAGAATCGAAGTTTTTATATATTTATAAGAGAGATCGACAGTTACGAGGTGATTGGTCGGGTTAATCATAACTGCACAAAACTGTTTGTGTATAAGGTTTGGAAACGTATTAGAGGCCGCTAAGAAGCTCTAAGTTAGAAGACATGTTGGTCTAAAGTGATAGAAGCAACATTTGTGAGGGTGCACTACACACCTCCTAACCCACGTTATTATGCCTTTTTCACCCTGTTGATCCCATATAAATCACAATTACACCAAAATAGCTTGATGACACTAAAATCACCAAGAAGTAGTAGGTTAGGTAACGCAAGCTTCCTGCAACAATATGATTCTTTATTTTAGTACGATCGGAGATTTATTTTAGGAATTCACTGCTGGTCAAAAGGGTGGGGACATCAGGTATTGCTCCAATTATTCTTACAGAACAGCTGAGCATTATTCTGCTTTTGTGGAATCAAAGCTTTTTGGTCGGTACAGAGTAATGAGCTTTGTTTTTTTTAGCTTGTCAATGTTTCATATAGAACATTAAAGGCTTCTTTTATGCAGTTATTCGTTGAAGATATCGAATCTAGGGTAATGTGTTTGGTGGGTAGGATCCATTTTAAAAGGCACATCAAAAAGAGTTTCTCTCTCTATTGCTGGGATCAATGAGTAGAGAAAGGAGCGTGGGGAAGGAGGAGAAGAGGTCAGATGTTGTCGAGACGGTCGTTGTTGCTGTTAAAGCATCTAAGGAAATTCCAAAGAGCCCTTTGGTTTGGGCTTTGAGTCATGTGGTTCAACCAGGGCACTGCGTTACATTGGTTATTGTTATCCCTTCACAAAGTTCTGGTAATTTACTTCTTTGTGTTTTTCTGAGTTTATGCTACCCTTGTCTTTCTTAAAGTTCACATGCATTCTCTTTGTTTACTGAAAGGCTGCATTTTGTCTTTATGACAAGAGGGAAGTTTCGTTAGGAACCCAAAATTGATTAGGAACCCGGGAACTGGGGCAGCATGCCATATGTCACTCTTCAAAATGAATATCCATCATGGATCACATGTTCATGATGAATCTAGAGGTGTTATTCATCATGAATCACACATTCATGATGAATATGGGGGTTTTATTCATCACAAACCATGCATTCATGATGAATAACACGTCCATATTTCTGATGAATATGCCTCGTGTCGAGCCGTCGGTGGTCCCTGATTCCTAATCAATTTTAGGTTCTTAACGGAACCTGCCCCTTTATGACCATATTGTCAAAATTTATCCTGCAAGAGATATTTGATATTTAGGCCTAAGCCTCTTCTTCAAGTTTTAGCTGCACATTGGTTTTTCATCAAACAGATTGAAATACATCTGAATCCTACAGGTGCAAATTTTATGTTCTAGTCATCCATGATTCAAGAATTATGGTTTATTGGTTTATATCTTATGGTTATGTTATTTGGAAAAGAATAGTTCGGTGAGATACGTTAAATTGATCTATATTAAACCATGTTAATAAGAATGTTGTGTTCTCTAATTTAGGTAGAAAATTATGGGGTCTTCCAAGATTTACTGGAGATTGCGCTAGTCGCCATTGGAGGTCCTATTTAGGGAAAAATGAAATCACGGATTCCTGCTCCCAGATGATCCTTCAGCTGCATAACTTGTATGATCCTAATAAGGTCTGTCCACAAAAAGCCTGGAGATTACCTACTTCTTGGTGTTTCATCATCTTCATGATTATTGAGAAGTAATTTGCGCTAATTTCGTAATAGATAAACGTGAAGATAAAAACGGTTTCTGGATCGCCATGCGGAGCAGTGGCTGCAGAGGCAAAGCAAATTCAAGCTACTTGGGTTGTTTTGGACAAGTACTGCTCTAAACTGTAACTAGATTATTTTTGAATTATTTTTTACTAGATTATATGTATATATATATATGTTTGTGTATATACCGCATCTACTTATACTCTTTGACTTTGGTGAGGTTTGAACCTTTTTCCTACAGGGAGGTTGCGATCTACAAGTAACCCGAGTACCGTTGGGCCTAAGGACCCTTTGGTCTGTGACTAGATTAGTTCAAACTAAAATTGGGTTGACAGGACGCCAACAATTTCTACGTGTCCCAATAGAGCGCTTTTAGGACTAAAGTTTATAGGACCAAACAATAAAACCCCCGATCTAAGGTGTTATAATAAGTTTATAGAACATTTTTTATGACCCCATCTTTTCATAGGATGGTTGTTTTTACAATACAATTTTATTAATAGTGTCCTATAAAGTAGCTAATACGATATTTTTTTATAAAAATGTCACTTTACGAAGCCCAAAAACGTCCTATGAACTTATTACAATACTTTTAGATAGGACGTTTTATTGTTTGAACTTGTAAATTAAGTCTTATAAAACAATCTATTAGGATGCTAAGACATTTGTGACGTCATGTAAACCTATTGTTAGTAGTGAATTGAGTGCATTGTATCCCCAATCTATCTTTTCTTTTCCCCTTTACTTACTAGCGTCTTTTCTAGAAAGTTGAAACACGAACAAAAACGATGTATGGAAGAGTTGCAATGCAACATCGTGACAATTAAGAAGTCGCAGCCAAAAGTCATTCGCCTGAATTTAGTTGGATCGCCGAAGGGACCTGAAGCCGATGGTCAGTTGCCTTCATCGGCAAATAAAAAATCATCTAGAAAACTACAGAAAGACAAGATTTTATCCATGTTTTCCGTTCAAGGACTAGTAACTCCAACTAGTAGTCCCGAGGTATCAACTGCAACCGAAGCCGGGACTTCATCAGTTTCAAGTTCCGATCCAGGGACTTCACCATTTTTTATCCCTGTAACCAATGGTTCCCTGAAGGAGGAAGCCTTAGCCCGAAAGGAGAATCGGGATCTCATTAAATCGCGTTCAGACTTTGAAAGCGAGCATCTATCAGCATCTTTTTCTAGCTTAAGGTTTCAGCCGTGGAGGGTCGATATTCTCACTTCAAGCCGTCAACCGTCTCAACACTGGGAGGAAGGTTTTCAAGGATATAGTTCACAAGTTCAAACTTCCAAAAGCGAAGGTTTTTTCAGGCAATTCTCTGAACTTGACCGAGATACTGATGTAGAATTTAGAGGTAACGTCAGAGATGCGATATCGTTGTCAAGAAATGCACCTTCTGGTCCGCCTCCTTTATGCTCGATATGTCAGCATAAGGCACCTATATTCGGAAAGCCTCCAAGATGGTTCACATATGCGGAACTGGAGCTTGCTACCAGAGGATTTTCTCAAGATAACTTCTTGGCCGAAGGCGGATTCGGGTCTGTACATAGAGGTTTACTTCCAGATGGGCAAGCAGTTGCTGTGAAGCAACACAAACTGGCAAGTTCTCAAGGCGATCAAGAATTCTGCTCGGAAGTCGAAGTGCTGAGCTGTGCTCAGCACCGAAACGTTGTTATGCTGATTGGATTCTGTATGGAGGACCGAAGGAGGTTACTAGTCTATGAATATGTATGCAATGGCTCGCTGGATTCTCATCTTTATGGTAATTCTTAAACTACCCTTTTTCTTACACTCCAGTACCTGCAACCTGCTAAATCTGAACTACATTGCGGATCTTTGCTTTTTTCTGATGTTTCTGGAATTTGGGATCTTTTGCAAAGAAAATCACTGGACTGCAACCCTAAAGATTAATGAATTGATGCCCTTATTGTTGGCATTGATAAACCCTCTTTATAAGGATTTCTGACAAATGCAGGACGTGATCGAGATCCATTAGAGTGGGCAGCACGCCAAAAAATTGCTCTAGGAGCTGCTCGAGGGTTGAGATATCTTCATGAAGAATGCAGAGTAGGCTGCATTGTACATCGTGACATGCGGCCAAACAACATCCTCATCACCCATGATTTTGAACCTCTGGTATATGCCTCCCCATATTTAAAGCTGTTAAAAGATGCCCATGTATTTCTGCCTCTTTTTCAGGCTGGACTGGGCCCGAGCTTATCCGTATTCCAATGGCTATCTTGACCGGCTTTTCTGGGCTTTGAACAGGGCCTGGCTTGGGAACCAAAATCGGGCTTTCGGGCCAAGCTTAGGCATTGGCCTGAGACCAAAAATTCAGCCTGATTGGCTTTTAAGACCTGGCCTGGGACCAGGATTCAGTCCCACTAGGCCCGCGCCTCTGGTCTTTTTTGTGCATTTTTATTTTAAAATAATCCTCTTTAGATTCAAGATTCTGCAACAAGCAGAAGAGTTAGTTGGAAAGTGACCACTATTAGCCTTACAGTCTCTATCCTTGTTTGAGATTGAGAGTCTTTGGTTAGTGTTTGGTACGCAGACTGAATGTGACAATACAGGACGGGATGGTACGGGACAGGACAGGACGGGATGGTACGGGACAGGACAGGACGGGATGGTACGGGACAGGACAGGACGGGACATGACTAATTGTCTGTCCTATGTTTGGTACGACTAGGACAAGACAAAACAAAACTATTAAAATGACCATATTACCCCTAAATGTTGTTCAATGTTATTTTATATCATATAATGATTGTAAAATCACAACAAATCAACCAAAATATTGTCATTTTAACTTTAGTCCCATGTTGTTCCACCTTTTTTGRTGGAACAAGAAATATCAAGATTTGTCCCATTAAAATTAAAAATAGCCTCACATTGTCCCATGTTTTTTTGTCCATGGCATGCCAAACATGGGACTATTTTTTTTGTCCCGTCCTGTCCCATGTAGTCTGCATGTTGTTTAAAATGGCCAAGATCTGATGTGTGGTATTTACACTTGCCAATAAGGGTGTGTTTGGTATGCAAATTGGATTCGACACGAGAGGACGGGACAAACGAAAGTGAGGTAGGCGCAAGAAAGAATTGTAGAAGGTTTTAGGGTTTTATTTGACATGGATAGTTTAGTTTTTGACCGATCTTGTTCCATCTCCCTTGTTTTTGTTCCACCCTATCTTGGTGGGACTGAATTAATGAAATTTTGTCCACTTTAGTTTGTCTTGTCCCAGTTTAATCCCGTGCTAAACGTGGGACTAACAGGTTTTTGTACTGTCCTTTCCCTCGTACCAAACGCACCCTAAAGAACAAACCTAACAACCAACAAATTTTGGTTGCAAGGTTGGAGACTTTGGCCTAGCAAGGTGGCAGCCTGATGGAGGCACAGAAGAAGAAACCAAAGTAATTGGAACATTTGGGTAAGTCCTTAAGGAGCTGCTCTTGTTTCTGTTTTGCACCATTTCCATGGATATTGTGAATAAGATATGTTGTTTATGATGTAGATATTTAGCTCCAGAGTATGCACAGAGTGGCCAGATCACCGAAAAAGCTGATGTATACTCGTTTGGGGTCGTATTGGTGGAGCTCGTCACGGGACGAAAAGCAGTGGATCTTAAGCGTCCTAAGGGTCAACAATGCCTTGCAGAATGGGTGAGTTTTAGGAAGACGATTTATATTTCAGAGTAAGGGGTTGTTTACTATCTGCTAACCGTCTCTTGACGGATAAGAAGTGTTTACTGGGTAACAAAGGATACCAACACACTTTGACTCACAAATATGCTAACCAAGATGCTTACCCAGTAAGTCAGTTGCTTTCTGACTTGGTCAGTGATTCAGTCAGCGAATGTCTTTCACAGACACTTGGGCTGCATTTGGTATCTAGACGTGATAGGACAGGACAGAACAATTGCTTAGCATTTGGTATGCTAAGATAGAAGTAGACATGACAGTACAGATAAAATGACCAATTTAACCCTAATGAGTTGTTCATATATTTTGATTAATTTATTTAATTATAATAAATAAATATTTTTATAGCAAAATATATCATTAGAATGTTTAGTCAAGACGATTAAAATAACACCAAATAAAAAGTTTATGTAGTTGTCAATTTTTTATTTATATTTAATAAATTACATAAATTAATCAAAATATAGAAATTGTATAAAAGAATATTTTGAGGACAGCAAAGTGAAAGTTTAAAGAAATTAAATAAAATAAATAAATAAAATTTAGAGATCGAATAAAATGTAAAAAGGGATGCATATTTGATGGTTTAGATGAGAATTAAATTTTATTTTTAGGTTATGTTGGTAAAATATAGGTCTGATCCACTTGTTCCATGGGGTGGGGGTGGAACACGGCTGTTCCACTTTGTTCCACATAATAGTCTTGCTATACGTGGAACAATGATTCTAGTGATCCTTGTCTTGTCCTGTGTACCAAAAGCACCCATCATAAACAACCATTTTCAGTAGGCACTTACGCAAACTGAACTGCTTACTCAGTTAGCACTTATCTAATTTGTGTTGGTAAATGACCCCTAAGAACAAAAAACAACAATCGTCCAAGTAAAGTGGTTGTTCTTGATTTTGTATTTTGTGCAACAATTGGTAGGCACGACCGTTGTTGGAAGAAGATTCGATTAGTGAGTTAATAGACCCTCGGCTAAGGAATTGTTATTCAAAAGACGAGGTTTATTGCATGATGCAAGCGGCTTCTCTATGCATTAAAAGGGATCCCCATTTACGACCTCGCATGTCACAGGTAATTCCGGGTTTGCAAGCATTTATAGTTTTCTTTTCTAAATTCGAACGTAATTACAAATTGGCTACAAATGATCTAAACATATGCCAAGGATAGATTTTTGTGGTCCAGAAGTTGGGTGTCCAACTTCGTTTTGCAAGATTTGATGCACCATTGTCAGAGTCCCATATTGACTAAACTTTGACCATTTCTTCTTGATAGTTCGACATATTCTCACATGAAAGGTCTACCATTCTAGGTACTCACACTTTGGGGCAATCTATATTCATTTAGCCCCCTCTAGATACTCCGAGACAATATGTGCCGAGCATATGTCGCAGGGTGTGTGTTAAGAGTCCCGTATTGCCTAGGCTCGGCTCATTTCTCCTCAATGTGTCCCTTCCCTTCTCAATATCTCTTTTGGAAAGTAATCTAAAAGGAGTTCCATAATTCTACCACTCTGGGTACTAGACTATCTGGGCAGTCCGTACTTGTCTAGCCCCCTCTCGATACTTCAGGACAATTTATGCCTATCTAGGGGGTGTTTGGGATTGCTTACTTGAAACACTTTATGCTTTTCTACAAAAGTCTTTATCAACTTATTATAAGTTAGAATGGTTTAACTTCTCCAAAAACTCATTACCGGTTTGGCACCGGCATAAACTGTTTATTCAAGCACTCAAAAGTGCTTATTACCGGTGTCACATCAGAATAAGTCAATAAGTTGTTTTTATAAACAATCCCAAACACCCCCTAGTTTCCGTTGGAAGGGGTGTGTTAGAGTCTTATATTAGCTAGACTTAGATTCATATTTCTTCAATATATGTCGGAACCGCTCTTATCTTCTTAATGTTGTGTTCTCAAATTTAAGAAGAAAGGAAAAGAAATGAAACTTTTTCATTTGTGTGCTTGAGAGCCAAAGGAAAATAAAGGAAAGAAAATTTCATATGGTTTTGAGCACGAGAGAAAGGAAAGGAAATATGGTAATTTTACAAATATACCTTTATTTGTTTGATAGCACAATAGAATTGATGGATACATTGTGTAATTTTATAAATCTTTTTAATTGTTGTTAAATATGGGAAAAAAGGTGTTGCGGATGCTAGAAGGGGACATAATGAAGGGATCAAGTGGAAGTGGTAGGATTGTGATGGATGAAGAAAGATACATGATTGGTGGTGGTAGACATGGAATGAAGGAAACATCGACCAGGCTTTCTTACTGGGAAACTGACACAATAATGAGGGGTTGAAGACATTACAGCTTGTTTTCTTCATCATCTTATAATTGATTTCTATTTCTATTTCTATTTCTGTGTATTTATAGTCAAATCAGATGTTTGTTTTGGTAGTTAACACACGTAATATTATCATAGATGTAGGTTACAGTAGCTTTCTTTTTTTCTTAACCACAAGTGTCCAAACTAGCTTATATGTATTTTGATTAATCTCAAAGGTCTTGAAGAACAGTCAGGAAAATCTTGAAATCCCTGACCTTACAGAACTCGAACCGGTAATTTCTGAGGATCCAAAAACCGTCGTGAGTTAAAGCCAATACCTCACAAGGTTACGTTACAATGGATATATGGAGAATATATAGAGTTTTCTTTTTTTAATTTATTATAAGGTATGTGTTTAGTCTAAGGTTTTTCTCTATAGATTCTTACAAATGTCATCTCCATGTTGGGTATTTAAAGTTTGAATAAATTAAGGTTTGTTAAAAAAATTACGTATTTCCTCTCCATAGTGGAGGTTTTCCATTGATTACACAGGGGTATGATTTTATAGTATGGATCGATTACACAGGTATGATTTCATAGTATGGATCGATTATACAGGTATGATTTCATAGTATGGATCGATTACACAGGTATGATTTNATGATTTCATAGTATGGATCGATTACACAAGTATGATTTCATAGTATGTGGATCGATTACACAGGTATGATTTCATAGTATGGATCGATTACACAGGTATGATATCACAGTGGACACAAACGCAAGGACCAAACCATAAAAATGAAATAATTCGTCATATCAACATGGTAACCAATTAATTCTTCAATCGGTTATTCAGATACTTAAATATTTAAAATTTTACATCTTACATACCAAAATAAAAATTTAAAAATACATTACTCAAAATATAAATCAAATTAAACCCAAAATCTTTTTAACCCACCACCACGGACAAAGCTATTTTCAGTCGCTATCCAAACTTCTCTCTCTTCTGTATTCCTTCCAACATGGCGTAGGACAAGTGGCTTTTCAAAATAAATATGTCTTTTAGAATTTTAATGCAATGTACCTGGTCATAATCGAAATAATCAAAATATTGAAAACTATAAAGTAATATTTAATAATATTACTATTTCAAAATTTTCAACATAAATTATATAAAATTTTATTAAATATTTCATATGCTAAAAAAAAGCTTTCAAATAAATTTTATATAAAATTAATATTTGAAACTTCATTGGCTGTAACTAGAGGTGTAAATGATGCGAGTCGAGCTCGAGTATCATTATACTCGACTCGAACTCGAAACCTAATCTCGAAGCTCGAACTCGACTCGAAAACTCGCGAGTAGTCAAAATCGAAGCTCAACTCGAACTCGATTCAAGCTCGAACTCGAACTCGAATCAAACTCGAACTCGAACTCAATTCAAGCTCGAACTCGAGCTCGAATCAAGCTCGAACTAGAACTCAAATCAAGCTCGAACTCGAACATAAACGAACATGCCTAAATTGTAACTTAGGTTCGACCTCTTGGGCCGACCTAGACTGGAGCCCCTCCAAAGTGCAATGGAGGTCGCCAACCTAGGCCATGGGTCATCTTGACCACCCATTGACCCCGTCCAGCGGTCCAGGTAAATACCTTCTCCCTTCCCCCACCTTCTCCTTTTAAACCCATCTCTCCACCTTTCAATTCTTCACTCATTACCGATGTGGGATAAAAAATTACACTTATTCATTCACTTTCAGAAGCTAAATAAATACAAATTATATATTAAAATTATATACAAATTATAATTTAAACTAAATAAATACAAATTATATATTAAAATTAATACATAATATTATAAAAGGGTAGGGAGACTAAAATGTGTATAATTTATAAATTATATTAAAAGAAATCATATTAAAATCACATTAATATTATATTATAAA